CATTGTCCGCCCCTGTTTTAGTTGTTTGAATTCTGCATCCTTAAAGTTAGTATTTGGTTAGGGAACATATGCGCCAGTCACCAGTCAATTTATGGTGACTTCATCAATTCCATAGGATTTCTTAGGCAAGGATTTTCCAGAGCAGTACCATCTGTTAAAATTTTCAACACCTGGTATTGTTGGCGGCCTCCTATCCAAATACCAGTATGGGCTGATTCCAAGATTAGACTGGATTTGTGGCCTTTGACCTCTTTCAGAGGTTCCATGCAGATATCAAACAGCATGGGGGACAAAACAGAACCAAGAAGAAACCCCAGGCCAAAAGCCAGAGTTTCCCAGAACCACCTTCTAAGTTTGCCCTCCCCCAAGAAAGACCAGAACCACTGCATAACAGTGCCCCAAGTCCAGTTCCAGAGAGGCAATCATGGGGGAGACCAAGGCTGATGATACTGAAGGCTGCCAAGAGGCCTATCAAAAACAACAGAAACATGTCACCCCTGTCTAGTCCCTCTACACCAAGGTGAGCACAGTTGCCTCTGTCACATTGCTTGAAGTCAAATTGAAATGGATCTTGATGTTGGAGGAGACAGATATCTGTGTCATTCAGCTTGCCCTGAAGCTCCAAAATTAGCCTTTTGCCTTCAGTTGTGGTGGAGAATGTTTCTCTATCACTAAAGCTAAAGAAAGATTCAAGTACCATCCCAAGGATTCAATTAGGTTTTTTTTCCAGGCAGCAAAATATTCTGGGACAACCTGTTTTCTTCTGATGTGTGCACTGTTCAGTATTAAATTCAAATACTAAAGAACCTGCCATTTTAATCAATGATTATCAGATGCATTGCTGTTTCATCTTACCTGACTTTCTGATATTCTGTTCTGAGGTAGTGGGTGAGAAGAATGATAGTTCATATTTGAAGTAATTTGAGACTTGAAATCAAATTTGAAATCAGTCATACTTAGGGAAAACCAGTTAATGGAGATGCTGTCAGTATCTAAAAAACTAGATACTTCTGCATTAGATACATCCATTATTTAACTTAAAGCATCTGGATAAGAAAAGAGCATACACAATGTGTAATGTTGGGGTGCTGCTTGGCTAGATGTTATTGCAAATCCAAGCAGAAAATTGTATGTTCTGAATTTTTCCTTCCTTGGGGATTAGTGTTCAGTGCTTGCTGCTTTGGCTACATTTGCTAAAATTAGGAGAATAACTGTGGAAAAGGAAGGTATGGAAAAGCAAACATATACATAAACAGGAGAAAGTTTATATGTATGTTTGTAAGCTGAGATGACAAACTAATAGTTTACTCAGGGATAAGCATGACACTGTGATAGAACATATTATGATGGTAGTTTCATCCCCTTCTAGAGAGTTTCCAAAACCTTTGAAGATGGTTTCAAGGAAGGATGTCAAACTGGCTCTGCTGATGAAAAGCTGAAGACCCCTAAGGATTATGAGCATTGTTTTTAAATCTGTCTAGTCACTGTGTCAAATGTTGAGAGAAATTTAGTACCGACCTTCTCATAACAAACCTGGAAGTAGAGTACTACTCTAGGACACTAAACAGGATGCCGTTCTGACTGCACCAGCTGTTTACGGTAAGTTCTGGGATGCATGACACAAACAGCTGGTGCATTAGGATGTAAGCTAGCAAGAAACATTACACCTCTAAGGACCTGAAAGTTGAGACAAGCAATAGGGATGGTTTATCACCATTATGCCCAGCTTGTGACTGTCAGAGTGGCTGACCACTGCTGGAAAGAAGAATGCCAAGTCCTTTGGTCTGATCCAACAAGGCAACCTTTGCATTCTCAAAAAAGAAACAATTATCCACGCAGTTCATATTCCTACAACATCTTATTGCAAAATGTTTATAGTGCTGTAAGCATTACCTAACATGATGACAACTATCTCAGGTGAATACATGTGGGAATTCGCAATACCTTCCCCCATAGTCAGGGCCATAGCCAGAAAAAAAATTCAGGGGGGTTGAAATTTGGGGGGGTGTTAAATTTTCGCGGGGGGGGGGTTGAAACCTGCCTCCTAGCTCACGCTGAAGCAAAGAGCACAGCAGGGGGCAGAGCAGCCTTCAATAGCCTGCAGCTCTGCCCCTGTCAACCACCTCCACCAAGTCTGGCCTCCTTAATGACAGCATTCAACACCCTTCCCCCAACTTGGTTGCTTCACTACATCGGCTATTGCTGCAAGTAATGACAGTGTGAATAAATTGTCAATATTTGCTTGAGATAGTGCTTGCAGTTCTGGAGGGACTCTTAATTTTTTGCATCTCATAGACTTAGCATGGGGATTTGGTTAACCAGGTAAAATTCATGAGTAAACCAGGTTTTTTTTAACCTGAAATTTCGGGGGGGGGGTTGACCCCCTACCCCCCCCCCCCTCGGCTACAGGCCTGCCCATAGTGCCCCTAAGCGTTCAAGACTATTTTTATAAGCCCAGCAATCATAGGTCCTCAAAAAAGGGCTGTTGTCTAACATATCTGGAAGTTACTGAATTGCCTATCTCTGCTGTGACTGGTTAAATCAGGAGGTACAAATGCACCAGACATGGTAATTTCTATTAATTTCAATAGGGCTGTGTTCAAGAGGATGGAAACAGAAAATATGTTGCTAAACAAGCAATGTCAACAACAACAAAAACAGCTGCTATTTAACTAAAGTACATTAAAAATATTTCAGTGTATGATTTCACAAAAAAGGTAATTAACTTCTAGTTTATGATCCTGCCTTTCCTCCACCCATATTCAGTATAATTGGCCACTGTTATAAAACTAAACATTGGAACTATGCACACTCAACTAGCAAAGGTAAAGAAAACCTATGATTTTGTGTAAAGTGTTCAGTGCTACCATCCAAGAAATCGCAGAGTGATTTCCATCTGACAGCACTGTAGGTATTTCTTCTATGGAGTTTAGGTTGCACATTAACTTTGGGATGATGTGATATGCCACATTTTATGCTGACTGTATACAGAGCAATAAGGCATGTCTGTTTGCTAGGAAAACATCATTTTCACTTGGATATCCAGATCTATGACTCAAAGGAGCACTGGCATAGAGCCAAACAACACTCCTCCTCATCTCCCTTACACAAAGGAGATTTCTGTCTATTGTGTGGGTGTCACCTTTTCTGGTAGCTGAGCTTGGAGATAAGAAAAGAGCACACACAATTTGTAGCATCTGGATAAGAAAAGAGCATACACAATTTGTAATGTTGGGGTGCTGCTTGGGTAGATGTTATTGCAAATCCAAGCAGAATATTTTATGTTTGGAATATTGAGTTGTTGAATTCAATGGCACTTCTTTATTCCTTAAATAAAATGTCAATATCAAGGTTTGCTTTTTGGATTTGTTTTTTGTGCTTAGCGATGGAAGTAAACATCTATTTTGATTTCAATCAAATACCAAGTACCAATTAACAGAACCAACAAATATTGTTTTTGGTATAAAAGAAGAGCAAACTGTGACAAGAAATGCACATGTGTCATGTTACAAAAATGCACATGTGTCATGTTACAAAAGGCTATTTTCTGTTGTAACTTTGAAAACAGATTAATGTTTGAAGAAAGTACTGTATACACTCAAGTATAAGCCTAGTTTTTCATCCCTTTCTTTAGGCTAAGTCCCCCCCCCCCTTCAAGGTTATTTATTATTTTACTCTTTTATTGTTATTATTATTACATTTATTATTTTACTCTGTTATTATTATTATTACCTTTATCATTTTACTCTACTATTATTTTTATTACATTTATTTTACTCTATTACTACTATTATTTTTACATTTCCATTATTTTACACTATTATTATTATTATTATTATTATTACATTTATTATTTTACTCTCTTTATTATTATTGGAAGGATACATAAGCACATTTACATTGAAGTAGGTTAGGATAATCAGAGTTGGACAGTCTTATCTTAAATTAGAGTTTTATGTAAAAAAACATTTAACCTACTGATGCCTCAATTAATGTAATTGCATTGGTATATATTTTTATTTTGAAATTTACCAGTAGCTGTTGCATGTCCCACCCTTGGCTTATACCCAAGTCAATCAATTTTCCCAGTTTTCTTTCTGGTAAAATTAGGTGCCTCGCCCTATATTTGGGTCGTCTTATACTCGACTATATACGGTACTTTACTGAGAATGAGCTTACATCTGATTACCTATAGCATGCCCTTTTTGTTTTATTTTTCCTGGGGAGAATTGGGATGTGCTTTCTATTGTGGGAATCCGTAATCTCATACATGTTCCAAGATTAGATTCACAACCATTACAGAATATTCAAATAGTCCAACAAAAATATATGAATTTTTCATGAACCATAACTGACCCATTTTGCTAGAGCCCCAACTCAACTGAAAGTCTTCCCAATACTTATCAAGCTTCCAGCCTAATGATACATTATGATATAGATAGGGAAAAAAGAAAGTGAGAGATGTTATTATTAAATGAACTACTCAAAGACACTGTCAGGTTAAGCAGAGCAACATAATTTGGGCTAGTTTTCTTTTCTTTCTAAACGGTTCTCTTAACATCAGTAAAAATATTTCCAAATAGGTTTTTATTAATTTTGAACGAGGACCATACATTTTATTAAGGAGCCAAAGAAGTTATCCTCTCTCTATATTGCTTCCAATTGGTAAATGGCCATCACATTTTAAGTTTTTAGAAATGGATGAGAAAAACAATAGCAATATCTATATCAAAATTAAATAGACCATTTAAAAAACAAAACAAAAATAATTTGTGTCCTCCACATTTTTTCATTCCAAAAACACTATCAACATGGAAAACTAGAATCTAAAAATGGCTAGGATTCTTAAGCTGCCAGTGTCCCTCCAGGTAAATGCAAAGCCCCAATGGAAGGAATGAGCCCTGCATCAGGTGAGTGTCTGTGATTATATGAAAGCGATTATTAGAGAAGTATAAGCCCCATTTGAGATGGCTGGAAGCCCCAGCGGTTGTGGTACTCACGTTGGCATTGGCCCCATGAATGGCGAACCCAGCCCCAGCAGCAATCGACTCTGCCTGCATATCGGCACAATCCTGTCGTGGAAAGAATCTGCCTGGGCCACCTACACCACCATCAAAAAAGAAATTTGAAACAGAGTAAAAACCATGTCATGGATTATGCTGGCCTTCTTTGATTATTCTGCATTCTGGACGATATGGCTTTCCAATTCTTTTATCAGAAATAATAATGAGAAATATTTGCAATCAATAAGAAATTCCTTCAGTAGATCAACTTTAACAATTAACTTTTTTATTTATTTGTCGTGTCAGAGCAACCAATCCATTATATTACATTTCTAACAGAACAAAGCAAACAAACAGACAAATACAAAACTTGTGAGTTTGGTAGTTGATTAAATGTCCTTTGACCAGTATCTGGCCACTTGGAGTGCTTCTGGTGTTGCTGCAAGAAGGTCCTCCATTGTGCATGTAGCAGGGCTCAGGTTGCATTGCAGCAGGTGGTCAGTGGTTTGCTCTTCTCCACACTAGCATGTCGAGGATTCTACAATTAACTAGTCCATGCATATTTTGATTGTAAGACCAAACATACTAAAAATACAATATGTTATGAAACCTTATCACACCTCTTGTTCAGGTGCAAAGGACTTTACCAGAAAGAACATTGCTCCAAAGTTTGCATATGTTCTATGAGGGGAAATTAATTACATGTTCTTATAGTTATAAAAATTAAACATATGACATGTCATATTGAGGAGGGGCAAACTTGTTTCTCTAGCAAAGGATTACTGCATTGCCGCGGTGCTGGAGCTTGAGCGCCTCAATGATGCCACGACTGAAACCATGAAGGGACACCCAGGATAGGAAGGTCATGACTAAATATTATCCCAGGGGAAGGTAATGGCAACACATCCCAGTATTCTTGCCATGAAAACTAAATAGATCCATGAGGTCACAAAGAGTCTGAAGTGACTCAATGAACAAACAACAACAAAAAACTTTTTTTCTACTGCCCTGGAGACCAGGTCTTGGAGCAGTGGATTAAAATTGCAGGAAAAAAGGATTCCACCTAAACATTAGGAAGAACTTCCTGAGGATAAGAGCTGATGTGGAAACTGTTCACACTCTTTCTGGGTGAAAGGATCTAGTATGTACCAATGAACACAAATAGTAATCCTTCTGAAGAAGGCATTGTTAAGGTTCTGACCTGTAATTTTTAATTTCAATAAATATGGCATTCCATAATCTGTTTACATGAACACATCAACCCATGTGGTAATAGATGCCTAGCGCATCAACATTTCTCCAGCATTTCCCACTGATTTGGTTATTGATATGCCCAAGTTACTTGATACACCTGCCAGCAGTGCATATTCTTCAGTGTTCTCTTGTTCTCGTAGAGATGAATTTGAGTAGAATGTGGTCTATTCAGATTGTAAGATCTCTTTCACATGTACTGTTGTCAAGCCAGGTATCACCCAACTTATAGGAGCCCCCAGTGGCGCAATGGGTTAAACCCTTGTGTTGGCAGAACTGAAGACTGACAGTTCCCTCTGTCAGCTCCAGATCTCCATGTGGGGACATGAGAGAAGCCTCCCACAAGGATGGTAACACATCAAAACATCCAGGCATCCCCTGGGCAACATCCTTGCAGACGGCCAATTCTTTCACATCAGAAGTGACTTTCAGTTTCTCAAGTCGCTCTTGACATGAAAAAAAAAAACCAAACCTATATATGTATATCTCATTTCTTCTGCCTAAGTGTAGTACCTTACATTCACAGACACTAATATCATATTTCAGAGAAAAATAACATGTGACCCTCCAGGGGCTAAACAGCATCTGAAAGCCTAGTCATTTCCTGGCCTGACAGATTTTTGTCACCTGAAATGCCGGTGACAAATTCTCTCGCCTTGATTTTCATTAGAGTAAACTAAATTATGACTTTTTTTGTCAAGTGTACAAAAAAAAAAAACCCCAACAACCTCACTGTATATGAAATACCCTATTTAAAGTTTTCCGAGATTCAATCAGAAATCTACATGCCAGCTAAGATGTTTATAAGAAGTCATTTTACATGATCCTGTGCTGAGCTGAATTATGTGACCAAAGAGAGGACTTTTTTTGGTAATTGTGTCCAAAATGGGCTTACATCTGCAGTGGGAGATTCTTACTGATAGAACAATGAACTTCAAAATTTTAGTGTAGAGTGAAGACAAAGACACTAGCTCTGTAAAAGGGGCAAAGGCAGAGAAATAGGGACTGCAAACATTATCTTAGATCAGTAGGTCCCAACTTATGGTCTGTGGACCACCAGTGGTCTCCAAGAGGTAAAATATGGTCCACAGCCTCGCCGTTACTACACCATTGCAATGAGAGCGATCGGTCATGCAAAACCCTCATATAGTGCTGAGGCTTATTAAATATGATTCTCTGTGGGCGAGCAGATGGTAACGACTGGGTGGCATATGTTCTGTATCAGAAACTAGAGCTGATGTGGTCTATCCAATGCAAATTTCTGAATCAGCACCCCAAATAACCAAACCAAATCTAAAGTTGACCAAAAACTGATTTGTTACCCCTTTGGTACTAATGTTGGAGAGTGGTCCCTGGTCAAAGTGGTCCCTGGTTATAAAAAAAAGGTCGGGAACTGCTATCTTTGATTGTAATGCATAATAAAATAGTAACAAAACAGAGCACTGGCCAACACACATTTTGGCGCCAAATGTTAGCCTTGTTTCTGGGTATATTTGACCTCCTGATTCCAAAAATGGCCCAGTATTCCCCTATCAGCTCTAGTTTTTGAGATACAGAACATATGTCATCTACTAGTCATAATTTGATCATTCATAGAACATCATGATCACCATATCTAAGAAACTAATACTGATGCGGTCTATTCAATGCAATTTTCTGAACCAGAACCACTGAATAACCCCAGGAACAGGCCTAGAAACCCAAACACCAAGAAATGTACAATTTATAAATGTGTAATTTTTCTGAGATAATCAAACATCTGGAATGATAAATACCAATGGCTAAATAAATTGAGAAAAGTGGGGTAAAAGACTAAGCTTCAGTTTAAGACTCCACTCTCTCCTATGCTCTGCATGACCTGGTCCTAATTTGCATCAGTTTTTCATCACATTTTGACACATTATAACTATAGCAATTATACACACATTCCTGCTCATCTTCATTTTAACATTTCACATATCTTGGTTCATGTTTAAACTTGAGTTGCAGCCTTCTCTCAGTAGTTTCACTGACTCTTCGCTCAAGTTATCCACTTATGGAATATTCATTTTACAAGACAGGGTTTATACATTGAATAGGATTTTAAAAAATAAGCCCTCCAGCAGAATCATATGATGATGAAGTAATAAGGATTATTAGGAATATAACCCAGAAAGCGGGCAGTCATTACTACAATTGTCCCAACAATTCATGCAAATATAGAAACTCTTGTGTATACATGATATGTGCAGCATCTGCCAAAAAATCAGGAACAGCAGACATAAATTAGATGGACACTGAAATACACATTAGAAAGGGTATCCAGACACATGGATTGCATTACTTTCAACTGGAAGAGTTCTGTGTTAGTTTGGATACTTACATCATTCATATTTGCATGTATCCAACAAAATTAGTCACTATTTTACTCATTAGTTAGAGCAAGTCCATATTGGTTGGGAACTTGTAGGAATCATAGTTTAGTTTCACAAAATATCTTTCCCAAGCTCTGGCAGTTGCCTAAGGTGGAATCCCCTATTTATCTAACACAGTCGGGGATGGTTTGAGGATTGCCTTCATTTTATATGTCAAGGAGTGATAGGTTCAGTCAGCAATTTTATCACACATTTTCCCACATACCTCCAAATGTTAGGTTAAGGTAAAGGTTTTCCCCTGACATTAAATCTAGTCATGTCTCACTCTGGGGGTTTGTGCTCATCTCCATTTCTAAGCCGAAGAGCTGGCATTGTTCGTAGAAACCTCCAAAGTCATGTGGTCGGCATGACTGCATGGAGCAAGGTTACATTCCTGTTAGAGCAGTACCTACTAATCTAATCACATTTGCATGTTTTCAAACTGCTAGGTTGTCAGAAGCTGGGGCTAACAGCGGGAGCTCCCCCCGCTCCCCCGATTTGAACCTGCAACCTTTCAGTAAGCAAGTTCAGCAGCTCAGAGGTTTAACCCACTACGCCACTGGGAGCTCCCTCCAAATGATATGTGGCAAAATTATTCCCACATCTTGAAAGAATAATGAAGACAGCCAAGCAATTTTTGATAGAGAATAGAATGACTGTAGCCTAAACACTGGAGGAATCCTCTTTACTGACAACTTTGCTTTTCCTGTCATCTGCTAGCAGACCATAAATGCATTCTTAAAATTGCATCAAGCTTTTTGTTCACTTTACTACTGTCTCCCGTTGTAAAATTTTATCTGATGCTGCTTTACCTCTCATTTATTCTATTCTTGGATTATATGACTATTGTTTATTTTTAAAACAACTTCATGCAAAGTTTAAACAAACTATTTTTACTCACCTCATCATGCCTTGCTCTAAAAGGCAGGGTGAGCATTAAAAATAAATGAGTAAATAAAGACTAGGAGTTACTGGCCAGAATGGGAGTTATATTACTTTGAGAATTTTAGAAATCCATGCCTCCCACAACAGCCCCCCCCCCCCAATACAGTTTGAGTTAAATGTGATCTCCTATACCTCCCTAGAGGGTAAGTCCGCTTGCCTTTTCTGGGGCTTCTAGGCCTATATGTATGTGTGTGTGTGAATGTATATATGTATTTCCCATCTTTGATTGGTCTTATGGTTGCTTGCAGAGGTTGAGATACACAGAGCTAAAAAAAAGTACACTATACAAAAGTTATATAAAGTGCAGCCAATTATGAAAGGCCCTTGTGCCTTTGACTGCTAATAATTCAGGATTAATCAGCCCTCAAAGGCTTACTGAAGCTAGCAATTGTGTCACCTGCTTACAGGAGAATAGCAAAGAGGGTAGCAATCTACAGTAACTTCTCCAGGAGAAGAGTTGTTCAGCCTGAGAACAGCCAACAAGAAGACCTCTCCTGTGTTTTCACCAG